TTTGGAGGCCTTTAGGAGTAAGGGTATTATCAGGGGATATGCAGAGAGATCTGTGAAGAAGGGCAGTAGTTTTTTCTGAGGGACTCTATTAGGAGATTTATATGGTACCAACCAGTTCTTGTGTGAGGTTTGACAGCATCAAGTTTTTTTTTTCCAAGTCATATAATTGTGTAGACTGTGAGACAGTAGGGTATAATCAGCTCTGGGTCTAGAGTAGAGCCTGCAAACTGTGGCTCTATGGGCCAAATCCAACTCATAGCCTATTTTTGTATGGCCTGTGAACTAACACAGTTTTTAACATTTTTCAAGAGTTGACAACAAATCAAAAGGAGAATGATATTTCATGATGTGTGAAATTAAATGAAATTCAGATTTCAGTGTCCATGAATAATGTTTTGGATTTTGTCAATAAAATATGTGTGGAAATTTGTTCTCTTTCTTGTTATATAAACTTCTATGTAATATCCTTCTTTTTTGCCTCTTGGCTCACAAAGCCTAAAATATTTACTATCTAGTCTTTTACAGAAAAGTTTGCCAACCCCTAATCTAGAGTATCTGAATTAAAGTCTAGGTTTTGCCACTTACTATGTATGTTTGGGCAATTTGCTCAATATCTTTCTGTTCTATAGTTTATTATTTGTAAAATGTGAAAAATAATAGCACCAATTTCAAAGGCTTTTTATGAGGATTAGAAGAGTTAATATTAATAGAGCACTAGAACAATGGATGACAATAATAAGCACTTCAATTAAAAACCTACTGTTATGTGGAAATTCTAACATTCCGTATTCCACATTCATAGGTAAGCGGCAATGAAAATATGAAGTTAATTGTGATGGACACTTGTAAGTAAGACAGTGAGCCATATGCTCAGATTGTCTAGAACAGAAATCCTTCACCTGAAATAGTTTAATTGCCTTGGAATTGCATACCAAATTATTATATATTTCACTTTATTAATCCATATTTTTTTCTGACATATAAGTCTAATTTTATGAGTGCATTAAAGGTGTACATAACCCAAAAATGTTTTGAATCACTGACCTATCGATAACTTACACCTGGAAATGAACTTAAGCAGGATTTTGTCCAAAAACAATTTCTATACTATATTCATATTACGTTAATCACTTTACATCCAAGTGATGTAAAACTATATAGATAATAAAAATTAGGAAGAGTTACTAATATAAAAATATAAGATGTAATATTATGCAATATTCATATTTATGAACACAAGTACTCAAGAAATTGCTAAATTATAAATCAGTTTAACTATGATAGGCATATTAACAGTTCTTCAAGAATTATATCCAATATGATACATTAATTGGTCATTCAGTGGACAAAGGTAATGATAAAGCTGCATTTACTAAGCCTCTACTGTGAACCAAGCACTATTTATTCAGTCTGAAAGTGTCACTTTCCTCACTTGTGTTCATTCAAATGAAAATATTGAAAATATCTCATTATATTGATGAAATATGGTAAAAGAATGTACAAGACTCGGTAGGCTTATTTATTTCAGTCAGTCTTGTTTTAGTGCTGTTCCCTGTCATTTTGCCAGACTGTTTGTTCACAGTTTTCATGATAGGGAGAAGATAGCTTTCCCTTCCAACTCTTTAGAAAAATGCTTTACGTGGATATTGTATAGGGTTTGTTATGTATTCCTAATGATGGAATTAACACAGCTTGTTGGAAAAAATTCAGTAACCTAAGCTGACTTATAAAAAGTTACAAGTACTCATAGTTTCAGCATCCAGAAATACTATATTTTGGTGTACATTCTTGAAAATTTTTCTTTGTGCATGTTTTTGGGGTTTTTTCCCAGAAAAACAAACATGAAATAGTCATTTAAATGGAAAAGACCTCTCTAACTCTTAGTTTGAAAAAGGAATTTAACCCAGGCACTTGTTTTG